TTCCTTCTTTATTTGGGTCTAGATGGGTAGTGGGGTACCAGGTAGTGGGGGTCCTGAGAGTCCCTTGCATTATGCGGGGAAAGCCCTAAACCCTAAACCCTAAACCCCTAGCCCCCTCCCCCTCCCCATCCCCCTCACCCCCCCCCTTATGCGGGGAAAGCACTTGCGAGCTCTGCAGGTTCAGCTGTCGGGGCCGTCGGCCGAAGCCAACGTTCGGGCTGTCCTTGCTTGCTTTGAGGCGTGTAGGAGACGGTCGGTTATATAGGGGTTATATGGGGTTATATAGGGGTTATATAGGGATTACATAGGGGTTATATAGGGGTTATATAAGTGTTATATAGGGGTTATATGGGGGTTATATAGGGGTTATATGGGGAACATATTGGGATAATGGAAAATAAAATGGAAACTACTATAACATATTAACTTCGTTGTGTTTTTGGAGGGGGGATGTCAAGTGAGGATGCAGTTATTTGGGTGTATGTACAGGTCCTAGTTCTGAGGTTTTGAGACGGTACACCTGGGTGGAATGCGTTAAACACATTGAGGAAACGGGGGAGTTGATTCACCAATGTAGTTACAGCCCGCTGCAGACCATTCTTCGCATGGGAAGCCGCTACCAGCGCCGAGCCGACTCGTATATCGCTACCTTGGCCCTGGCTTCCGCAGTGGGATTCTAGGCTGCCATGGAAGTATTGGGTTGAGGATGTGGGGGTTACCCCAAATTCGGGGGGTACCCCGTTTAGGGGTACCCATAATAAGGATTAGAGGTCCCCTCGTTTTGGGAAACTACCATGTATGGCCCTTTAGGTTGTGGGCCCTGAAACTTTTAGGGTTGAAACATGAACAGCTAGCAGTACTCCTTGTATAGAACAAGTGTGGGCTGCAGCCTTCGCAGAGCAAGTGCGTTCCACGTAGCGAAGAATCCTCAATCTCAAAAAATATTCGGAGCACCGCTCGCAGTCATGCTCCAGTATATTGTTGTACATTATGGTATATTATAGAATATTATGGGTATATTCTATTATAGGTTATTCTGGCAATGAAAACGGCAATCTCAGGTCTGGGCCTTGTGCTGGTTGGGGTGATTGTGGGAGTTCATTCTCAGCTCAATGCCGGGACTTGCGTGTGCCTTGTGATCATCAGCGGTGTCACAGACTCTCGGCGGCCTAGCATGCTTGAGGACTCCGATGTAGTTCTGTTTGTTATGGCTATGAGTACAGTAGGGTTATTAGGGGGAGCTTAGACTATAGCTCAGATAATCTCGAGGCTGCAGTGCATCAGATGATTCTGTGGGGTCCCTGCCTCAGAATGTCCGCAAACGAACCTCAGCTGAAAGATTAGCAAAGTGATGGGAGCCATCAAGCTTGATCAGGTCGCCTTGCAACTTTGGCGGCAGATAAGTGTTCAGGTTGGCTTAGGGCCTGTGGCAGGGTGCAGCAACTTGAGAAAAGAGGCCGAATCTTTTTGGCATACCAAGGCCAACGAAAACTTTGGGAAGCTCTCCAGCAACTTGTGCCGCGCGCGGTGGCGCAATTCCGCATCACAGCGGGCATTACTAGCTAACGCGGAACCACGGAAAATATAGACCAAAAGTGTTGCTGCGGGACTTCGCCGCATACCCTCCAGGCATGTGGATGCCCTGATGCTGAAGGAGCGGAGCAGGCCAAGTTATAACGTGAAAGCTGTGGAGTTTTAACAGAGTCTATAATGGTTAAAATAGCAGTAATAGTAATACTAGCTGTATTAGTAATGCAAGCAATACCTTAACAGTAATAGCGGTAGTAATATTAAGGACGGCAAAAGCACTTACGCCTTCACAAGTGCCTTCTGCATGTGTTGCTAGCATATGGTCTAGGGCTTGGGATTTATCTTCCCCAGAGTTGTTCCTCATAGGAGGCTTTTGAGAGTGCATTTGGGGTTGCACGACTCAGCATCTCTAGACTTACCCTCCCTCAAACTGCCTATATGAGCTATAGGCTAAACTCCTTAAAGGGGGTTATATAAGGGATTATATAGGGTTCTACTGTAGAAGTTACTAAGGGGGATACTGGGAGTTTAGACTATAGCTCATATGGTTCTTCATGTTAGTTCTGGGGACAGTCCCATACGCGGCTTTCTGAGAAACACTGTCCACGCGGAAACCTGTAGAACTTTCGGATGGAAGACATCTGGTGATAAGTGGAATTTCTGTAGTTGAGGTATCCTGACTTTTGCAAGAATTTCTTCACCCACTGCGTATCACCCCCTTGTAGCAAAGAGAAGCCTCAAGAGAAGAAGTTCTGCCCAGAAGCAGCTAGAAGAAGAAATACAAAAAGCTTCTCCAAGGCATTCTTCAGGAACATGCCCTGAACATTTGAGCAATGCAGCCCAACTGTGACTCCACGAATACTCATGAATCAGGATGTTTGGAAGTCCTAAACCCTAAACCCCAAACCCTGGGTGTAGCAGGTGATGAGCCTGGCGATGGAGAGGCTGGCCCTTCTTGCCGAAACAGAGCCAGTGTCGCGGCTTTGGGTTTTGAGTTTCTCGGGACTGTTTGCAACCAGGACTTCTATCTCGATCAAAGGATTCGAGCAAGCTTTCGGAAGTGGAGCATACCTAGACGATCTGCGGTTGCCGATTTGAAAGGCGTTGCCTTTTCAGCTGATTATGTTGAGGGTGTTGTCTTTATGAGAGCAGCTTCTCCTGTGGCTCGCAATGAGCTGTGCTAGCAAGGTGCGCAAACTTGCCCAAAAGTCACGGTGAACCAACCCAAACTCAGGTGACTGTCGCATGCTTGATTCCGACAGCCGATTTGGGATACAGTGTTGTTTCTTTGGTGACTCGGATTTTTAGGCATGTACATGCAAGCAATCACAAGGAGAAGTCTGCACCATATAGGTTGATAATGCACTGCCTAGGTCAGCACATTTGTGCTTTACATCCTTGGCAAACTCCTTCACGTGGAGCTGCCTCTTTGACTTGGGCACTCTCGGCTGTAGGACCTGGGCGCCGGAGTTAAAGATTTTTAGTTTGCATACAGAATGATACCCAGGGCGTGAAATAGCGCCGTGTACAGAGACACTCCAGCTGTGCAAATGTCAGCGCAGCAAACCATGGGAGCCTGAAAGTGTGCGATCTGCTTGAGAAAGCTTCTCTGCATTATTATTAGTTTTCGAGTGGTAGCTAGCTGGCGATGACTTGTTGCAAGCAAGCAGCGACTGATTTGACCTCGAACTTTCCCAGCCAGAGTTGGGGAGGTGCGATACGACGTGATCATTTCGGCTGAGCTTGTATATTTGGAGGACTTCTGCCCCGGCACCATTTGTGTGGATGTCAAAATTATGATTCCTTTTTGGGTACCCTAAATTATTAGGTGCCGTATTATAATAGGGATTCAAAAAGGGACCATAATTTTGACAACCATCCATTTGCGCAGGGTTTGACTTGAAGCTTCAATGGGAAGCATCTCTAGGCAGAGCCAGCAATGAGAGGTCCGCAGGCAACGTGTCACGCAGGCTTTAGATGCCAACCTATGTGATTCATGATGGCAAGCTGGGCGAGTCAATCTATCTTTGCTGGCTCAAAGCTGTGCAGTTCCTTTGCGTTTTACTCCTAAAAGAGAGAAAGAAGCCACCGAAACATGCATAATTTCTCCATTTAACGGTACGCCTGCAGTCTTCACACACTGCCCGCATGCCAAGCATTCTTATCTTACTCTTTGGCCGCTTTGTTCTGTCTCAGTGACCTTACTGATGGTCAGTAGGGAACCAGTGAAATGGACCCCTCCGGTAGTTCCTGATATGAGCTAATGCCTAAACTCTTTGAGAAGGGGATTTAGGGGATTATATATGGGAGCATCATAGGGGTTATTAAGGGGGATACTAGGAGTTTAGACTATAGCTCATATAACCCCCTCCATAATCCTAGTTTCCATTTCATGTTCCATGATCTTTTCCATTTGATTTTCCATTATTGGGGGGGGGTCATATAACCTCAAGCAGTAGTCTTTGGGTTGCTTCATTCCCGACTATCCGCTGTAAGTCACGGGCTGGATGTCCTTGATGGCTCGGCTTAGTGCAGCGCAAAGCAGAGAGCCAGATGCCACCCAGGTCACCGGAGTAGGCTTTAGGGTTTAGGGTGCTTGCGAGAGTACTGTAAAACTTCAAAGGGGTAGATCGTGATTTGCCTATCATCTTTCTTCGTGTGCAAAGTAGAACACCGCAAGATTCTAGTTCCATCATTGGTAATCTTCATACATATAGAGGGCACCCCCTCATACAGCCCACAAGGGCAGTGTAATAGGGCTAGGGACCTCCCCCAAAAAAGTGTCTCCTATTTTGGGGGAACCCCCCAAGAAGGTTTGTGTGTTGGTTACGGGATGGCTTGAACCTCTTGACAACCCAGACCCCCTAAAGGATCCCAAAAAGTTTCCAGCTTCTTTTCCATGATTCCCATACAACCCCTACATAAATGAGAGTTCCCATTTTCTTTTCCATTATCCCCCCTAATAATCCCCTATTTACACCGATTTAGTAATGGGTTCATATTGGGGGGGGTTCAATTTTTGGATCCTTTAGGTGGGTCTGGGACAAGGCAGAGGGCGATCGCCCACTTGGACCTGGACTGCTTCTATGTACAGGCATAGACTTGGGCTTGGGGTTCCGGGGCTAAGGTTTGGGGATTGGGGTGTTCAGGGTATAAGTGCTGGGTTCTAGAGACTAGGGTTTGGAGTTTAGGGTCTAGAGCTGCAGGAAGGAATCACCTGATTATCATGCTGAAATGTTTTTGTTCTGACTACTGTGGCTATGTGGAACACTAGTAGTGCTGATACCACATTAGTAGTGCTTTTCGGTTGTTGAACCAAGTAAGGTTACCTTTTCTTGTGGAGTACTGGAACCAAAGGCAGGACATGATCTCCTTGTTATGGGCCTCTTAACCCTAAATCCTAAACCCTAAACCCTATATCCTAAACCCTAAACCCTAGGGTATCCTCTTTACACATACTAGGCACATGGCTCTAGGAGTCGAGGTCTGTGAATAGTATTCGGCTCGGTCGGGGGCAGCCAGAAGCTGGAAGTTCTGACATGGAAGACCTGAGTGAGCAGTAGATGGTGTAGGGTTTAAGGTTTAAGAGAGCTTGTATTTGCACGTCCTTGTAAATATAGTCAGGATCCTATAGTTTTGGGGTGCGGATGGGGGACCCGCATTTTGAGAGACCTGGCAAGCCAAAAGGGAAACTACGGCTTTGCAGACTGTTCTTTCGATTCCCTCGAACCCCAATCCTTTAGACAGTCTCATGGGGTTGCGCTTCAGGCTTCCCAGCAATGGTGGTGCTGAAGCCCCAAACACCCCTATCTCTGGTCATCCCCGCCCACTAGAGTAATATAGGTTCTAGAGGGTTGTAGGGGTTACAGAGGGTAAACAGGATTATACGTGGTGCATAGCGATATTTCAGGGTTATACAGGCTGATATAGGTGGTTGCACAGGGGATATACAGGATCATAGAGCTCATTACCAGAAGGTTGGGGTGCCGCCTAACCTGTGCTACAGTCCTTGGATTGATAAGGCAACAGCTCTGAAATTGTAATTGCTGTAATGTCATGCCCTTAACTGGGTCTTGTATATGACATCATAGGGTGGTTCCACCAAAGACCCTGAACCCTGGCCCAAAATCCAGAGCTGAAAGCACCACAAGCCCCAAACCGTAATCATTAAACCCCAAACCTTCAACTCCAACACCCCTACTTGTCTTCTGTTTGTCATGCAGGCAGAAAAGGCCGCGGCAAAGAAGACATCGACCCTAACCCCCAAACTGCACGAAAACACCCTAAACCCTAAATAGTAGTTTCCATTTTATTTTTCATTAACCCAATATGACCCAATATAAGCCAATATAGCGGAAAAAAACACCCTAAACCCTAAACCCTAAATAGTAGTTTCCATTTTATTTTCCTCTATCCCAATATAACCCCATATAAAGCCAAAAAAAGTATAAACCTCCTGAACCCTCAGTAGTAGTTTCCATTGTATTTTCTATTTTCCATTATCCCAGTATGAAGCCAATATAGTGACAACCACCCTAAACCCTGAACCCCCTAAACCCCCTAAACCCCCTAAACCCTCAACCCTAAACCCTAAACCCTGAACCCCCTAAACCCCCTAAACCCTCAACCCTAAACCGCAACTTCGGGTCGAGGTGGAGCAGCGGCGCCTGAACCTTGGCAGGCCGCCCTGGACTTCCAGGACCGTTTGCGCTGCCAGGGGTTCGTAGGGAATAGGTTGGGTTTAGGGTTTAGGGGGTTAGGGTTTAGGGTTTAGGGTTTAGGGTACTGCCCCCCACATTAACAGTTGGATAATATTCCTATTATAATTATATTTAGCCCTTAATATGACTCCTCTTATAGACTGTTAATGGGTGGGGGCAGGACCCAAGTAATAAGGGAATAGGGATTTAGGCTTTGGAGTTTAGGTCTAGTAGGGAATAAGGGAATATCTATTGGGTTTAGGGTTTAGGGTTAGTAGGGAATAAGGCCATATCCATTGGGTTTAAAGGGGGTGTGTTGTATAGGCGTTATGTAGGGATTTAGAGTTTAGGATTTCGGGTTTAGGGTTTAGGCTGAGTAGGGAATAAGGGAATATATCGTATAGGCGTTATGGGAATAAGGGTATGTACCTGCTACAATAGAGAATCAACTGGAATGGAAAATGGAAAATCGAATGGAAACATGGTGTGTGGGGGAAATATGGGGCTACTTGCTGGGGGTTAGTGGGGAATGAGGGAATATATGATACTGGGATTATATGGATACGATATTCCCTTATTCTCCCTACTGACCATGATTAAGTTGCAGGATTCAGAGTTCACCGTCGGGGGTCTTGGGTACAGGACCCAGGCCTTCGTCAAAGTTTCGGGATATCAAGTTTGCGGGTTCCCTTCAAGGGTTTAGTTGCTTGGGCGCGTGACAGGTTTGCAGCATGATTGCCTGATAAGTGTATGTGTGGGGTGTCTTCGTGGGGCAACCAGAAACGCATATCAGGGAACGAATGGGGCATTGTAGGGGACAGACTAGGGTCTTCTGGGGATCATATAAGCTTAGTTAGTGAAGGAGTCGATCCTTACAATCATCCTTGCCTAATCCTCTCAATTATTCCCCATGTCCACTCCTCTATCCCCACTTAGGCAGTGCCTGGACCTCAAAAAGTAGGTAAAATAACAGCCCCAAAACCTTCCAAAATAGCCTTGAAGGTCATTATTCTGCATACGTTTGGGGCCTAGGTAAGATTCGGTCATGTTCAGGGACTCGCCTCCAGCTGCGGTACAACAGTGCGAAGCCCAGCTACTTTGAGTTGAGCCATACTTTTTAATGGATTATATGATATATGAGCAATAACATTACCACAATACACGTAGCGAAGGTGTTTTGGGGGGTTCCTAGCACCATGAGGACGAGTGCCCAAAGCTTAGTGGCGGGCATTCAGGCTTCCTGGGGCTTTGATGAGTTGCAGGGCCAAGACTTCTCGAGACGCCTTGCAGAAAGCTACCATCCAAAGCGGAACATTAAGTTTCAGGGGTTGAAAATTCATGTCGCCATCCCTCTGCGCTTACAACATGCGCCCAGCTGACCTTTTGGGGGTCCCAATAACAAGGATTATTGTATTTTGGGGTCTATGTTGGGGTCCCCCTGCCTGCATCCTGACTCATGGCCGTGCCAGTATCAAGCCCACCAGCCGCAGCCTATGCCTGTTACTACTATTGGTATTATTACTACGACTATTACTATTAGTACTACTATTACTATTAGTATTACGCTTGGTATTACTATTACTGTTACTTTTACTGCTAGTATCACTATTACCATTACTATTACTATTTCTACTACTATGGCTGCAGGTGGGACGGCCTCATTGCGGTGAATTATGCGGCCCGAGCCCACGGTGTCAAGCCCGGTCCTCGGCTCTGTCTCTTACAAGTATGGA